TTATCAATATCGGTGAAAGTGTTGAGAGTCCATTAATAAAAAAAGAGAGAAAACGCAGGTAATCCATATCGCACAATAGTTTAAAAAAAAATATTTTTGAAGCAAATTTGCGAGAGTAGCGAACATCTGACTTCCAAAATATCGAATAATGCAATATCGAAAAGGAAAACACTAATCGAGAACGGAAAACGACAAAAAAGGAGGGGGAGGGAAAGAAAAGAAGATATTAGGAAGGAGAAAGAGAATGTATAATGCCAGAATACACACACACACGCACACACACACACACACACTTCGGGCAAAGACTTCGTGTCATTTTGTCTGTTTATTCTATGTTCCTGTTTTTTAATGTGTACCATATCTAAATGATTTATTTTAGATTAGCCCAACTAAAGAAAAAGAGATGGATATCGTTAATCAAGAAGAACTTTGTAATATGGCAAAGAGCTGGACCACTGAACAATATCCAGAAGTCAAAGAAAGTTCATATCCTATGTAAATTGGATGAATTTAACAAATTTATATATAATTTATAGAAATTTGTTAAGCTAATTATATATTTTTCTTTTAGACTGCCTAAAAAAGATGAACGAAATATGTTGATAACATCAGCGCTTCCTTACGTTAATAATGTCCCGCATCTAGGAAATATTATTGGCTGTGTTCTTTCAGCCGATATCTTTGCAAGGTTTATACACTTAAAAAATACTAATACAAATACTTTTAATTTAATAATACGATAACGAAATTTTTTAACTTACGCAGGTATTGCAGGCAAAGAAATTACAATACTCTTTACATATGGTAATTATTTCTTTTTGGCAACATACTAGAAAATTAATGTTCCACAAATAAAATTTTAGAATATAATTTTAAAATTTGATTTTAAGTGGAACCGACGAGTATGGCACTGCGACTGAAGCAAAAGCTCTGCAAGAAAAAACGACTCCTCAAGCTATTTGTGATAAATTTTTTGATATACACAATGATGTTTACCGCTGGTTCGGCATCGGCTTCGACTATTTCGGCCGCACTAGTACACCCGAGCAGACAGAGTAAGATTGTAACCCCTATTTTTATTCTTTTATTTCTTTCGTTTCTTTATCTTATTTACATTAATTACATTCATTTTCATGATAATTCTTTTCAGAATCGTTCAAGGGTTTTTCCTAAATATTAAATCGCAAGGCTACGTGTTAACCGAAACTGTGGAACAACTACATTGTGAATCCTGTGATCGGTTTCTCGCTGATAGATTTGTGGAAGGCACGTGTCCTGGATGTAAGTACGAAGACGCGCGCGGCGATCAATGCGATGGTTGCGGTCATCTCGTCAACGCAGTCGAGTTAATAAACCCTCGATGTAAGATCTGTAACACTAAACCTGTTGTGAAAAACTCAATACAGTTCTTCCTGGATTTACCCAAGGTTTTATATCATGATATTCCGTCGATTTCCTGTTTCCAGCGAAATACGGAATTATATATGAAAATACAACTCTTTATGTTGCAGTTAGAAGAGAAACTGAAGGAATATTCCACTACACGTGATAAAGGATGGTCCAACATCGCGAGAGTGGTTTCAAAAGCGTGGTTACGCGATGGTCTTCAGCCTCGTTGCATAACTAGAGATTTGAAGTGGGGAATACCTGTCCCAGTAGAAGGTTTCGAAAATAAGGTGTTTTACGTCTGGTTTGACGCTCCTTTCGGATATATCAGTATTACAAAGAGGTATACTAAAGAATATAAGCAATGGTGGCAACCTTCTGCTCAGGATATAAAAATCGATTTGTACCAATTTATGGCAAAGGATAACATTCCATTCCACACGATAATGTTTCCCGCTTGTTTATTAGCGGCTAATCAAAATTATACGTTGATGAAATGTATACTGGCAACTGGTATGATATTTTCAAAGAATGCACATCTTTCGAATGCATTTCTTTACTTTATAATTTTATGTTTTTGTATCTTTATTTTATGGTTTTATTTCATGGTATCTTTAATTTTTTTTTCTTTTTTATAATCTTGTAAATTCTCTCTTTTTATTTAATTTCTTTACACATATTTGTTCATCAATTTTCCTACCGATATAATATTTATTTTATTTCAGAATATTTAAATTATGAGGATAAGAAATTCTCCAAATCTAGAGGTATCGGAGTATTCGGAACCGATGCGAGAGATACCGGAATTCCAGCCGATGTATGGCGATTTTATTTAGCTTACATTAGACCCGAAACTCAAGATTCCAATTTTAATTGGGTGGATTTAGCCACGAAAAATAATAGCGAATTACTAAATAATCTCGGCAATTTTGTCAACAGGTTTGTAATTACTATATTTCTTTGTAAGTCATCAATAATTAATGTCCTATTATTAACAAT